TGGGTAGTAAATCAAGGGAGATTTGGACAACAAGTCAAATATGAGATGAGTCAGAAATTTGGCAGAGTAATAGTATGCTTAAAAATTCAGAATGTGGTCCTTTTCGCAAGCTGAAATTTGATATTTATAGTGTAATATGGGAATAGTTAGGGAACAAGTAAAATACCTAATCTAATGAAAAGATGTCACGTGTAAGGCTAATTGGTGAGGAAATATTCTGATTGATTGGCTGGTTGAATGGTATTGTTGTACCAGCTGATGTCCTCTTTGTGTAACTGAATAAATCACATGTGTAAGTCTAGCAAGTGTCTGCTCCAACTGATCGATTTGCATGATGTAAGCCCTAGGAAAGTTATCGCAAGGTGATGTAGTCTTAGTGTGGTGTGGAACATTAGTACCAAAATTACTAACACCATGAAGTGTGTTCGAGGTCATGAGATAGGCTTGGGTTGATGCAGAAATGTCTAGCTTAGGGATGAATGTTAAGTTAAACGGTCAAGGAGCTAGGCCCAAGTGATAACTGAGGCTGTCTCTATTGACGCTAGATTTGGCCCCGAGCTCAGTTGCTTTGCAGGAATTGGCTTTGACCTCAGCCTAGGGTTGGCCTCGGCCTTAGGTATAGTTTTTGGCTTGGGCTTGGGCTTGGGCTAGACCGGATTCGCCTTAAGATTGGGGTGTATGACAATATACTCCACCATAACCCCCCACCTATGAAGTGAGAGTCTCATTTGAGATTATATATAGAGTAGTTCTTTGACTGGTCTGGTGCGCCGTATAGGGGCATTTCTTTCCATGGTTACAACAAGGGGACACCTCATTAAAAGCTCCGCTAAGAAAAAAATCTTGTGAGGAAAAATCATAACAGATGAAAAAGAGTACATCCACCTTGAGGCAACATCCGGAGAACAAGGGGACACCCCGCTGCATAAAGGGTGAGAATCTAAGCTCACACGCCTGAATCCTTTATGAGCTTCCTTTTCTGCTCCTGCATGTTAGTTCCATCTTCCACAGCCAAAGCCAAGGGTTGCCGAAAATTTTAATATAATAATTTGGTGAGGTTGGTTTAGAAGAATACCCGACCTTAGCAACATAGGTCGGGGTTGTCATCTGTTTTAAGAGGTGAACTTTGATTTATGTGTACTTCGCTCGCAGCTCTAGCTGAGTCCCACGACTTACCAGTTCCCCACTCATCTGGACTTAGATTTTTTTCTAAGTGGAAAAGAGTATAGTATGAGCTTGAAGGGGACGAGGTAATGTTTAGCGTAAAAGGCTTGGTAGACTTAGGAAATTTTTTATTCCGTGTGTATTAATGCTAAAGCGTGTAGTAACGCTGATATAGGCCTTGGGAATTTAAAGTATTTATGTTTCATTTTTTGAATTTGTTAGGCTGTTTTGCAATAATGACAGTGACTAAAAGGATAGTACAGCGTCATTATTGCATGTACTTTTGGCGTGCCTTTTCATTTATTTGTTCCAAATTTTGGTCCGTTAATTCACAACCATAAGTGTGTCCTTACGTTGCCCTATGTTTTGAAAAATATAAAAGGTGGAAACCTTTCATTCTTACACTTTACGCTTTCAGAGTTTTCATTTGTTTAAGCTTTATCAGTCGCCCCAGCTTTTTCCGTGCATTCCATATTTCTTCAAGTTTTCAACCAAGGTCGTTTCTAGCTTCCATGCTTTGTCTCGTCTTTCAGGTCAGTGCTCGGGCCCTGTTCTTCATCTTCATTTGCTTTGTTGTACGTCAGAAATCCCGGAAACACGGGTTTGTGGCGATTTGGGGGTTAACGATGCTTTAGTCGGCCCCAGGGCCGTATTGAGCCCAAATATTGTACGCCTGGGCTCGAAATTGAGTCCAGATGCATATTCCACCCCTCGTTCCGTGCTTTGGGCTTGGATAGAGCATCAAATTTTTGTTTATTAGATTTTCTATTTTTCGCATCTCCAGATATTCATAAATGGTTTCCGGATCTAGTTCAGCAAACACCAGTAAGCATGTTTATCATGATCTTTTCATGAGGAGGTTGATACATTTAACCTAATGGTGTATAATACATTTATTCTTATAAACACAATCACTTTTATAGTATGATATATGTATTATATCAGATGCAGCGTGTAAATCTTTGCCCGATAGAACAAAGGAGCCAAATCGGATAGAGAATTTGTCTCTGGCAGACTTGTCTCTTTCGATTTCACCGGCCAAAACGTCAGTTTCCCCTTGGAGCGCCAGGTCTCCGTCCCAAAACCCTCCCCTCATCCCCAATGTGTGTTTATTCCATATACCTAATTACTCACACACACATGCTTCTATATGCACACAATCGCTTTAACTAGTGAATTGAAAAATTATATTTATTTCGTATGATGTATTGCATGAGTATCCAGCTTTAGACACCTAATAGTCTTCATATCTTCACGTTTTTTACCTTTCATTCTAACCATTTCCACCATTTTTTACATAACTTAATAATGCACTTTGATGTAAAACTTTTCGCACTTTTGTAATGCTTTTGTGGTTTTTATATCTAACTGATAGCAGTGTGAACATGAACTTTAGCACTACTTGTGTTTTATTAAGAAAATAAAATGAAAATCCAGATTCTTCCTCTAAATAGAATAAATACGTTCCTAAAGTCCATGTAGTGGTTTACTAATATGCCCTTGTGTATAAGTGTATTAAATGTAATTCAAACTTTCCTTGTAATGTGTAATAGTATGAACGTGAGTTACATCATTATTAATATGCTCCATTATTATTATAGCCATCCGATTACATCAATTGATGGCTAGGTCTCGTTCTTATTTCTCTCCCAAAGGTATGTTCTTACCGGAACCAATCCCTATATATATATATATATATATATATATATATATATATATATATATATATATATATATATATATATATATATATATATATATATATATATCAGGAGCTCCTGAAGAGAAGCCCCGTGCGGACAAGCCCCCGGTGGAATTTTTTGATGAAATTTTTTGAGCATGTTCTTCATCAAGTCTAGTTTGTCCATACCAACTTTCAGCTCAAAATTCGATCGGGAAGGCAGTCAAATAAATTCTGGAAAACTAAGGCTCATTCTGCGCACATATAAAGTGCAGTATGTTTCCAAGATTTATTTGACTGCCTTCCCGATCGAATTTTGAGCTGAAATTTGGTATGGACAAACTAGACTTGATGAGGAACATGCGCAAAAAATTTCATCAAAAAATTCCACCGGGAAGACCCTCTGATGGGCTTGTCCGATCGGGGCTTCTCTTCAGGAGCTCCTGATAGGAACGGGACTCATACCATTGTATGTATATATATGTATATATATATATATAGACAACTTTTCATGTCCAGCCGGCCTGACGGGAACCGCCGTCCGGCCGAGGGAATTTCAGGCACTTCCGGTAGAATTTTTTGATGAAATTTTTTGAGCATGTTATTCATGAAGTCTAGTTTATCCATACCAAATTTCAGCTAAAACTTCAATCGGGAAGGCACTCAAATAATTTGTTGAAGTTAACTGGGCAGTTCATACATATAAACTACGCAGTTAACTTCAACAAATTATTTGACTGCCTTCCCGATTGAATTTTTAGCTTAAATTTGGTATGGATAAACTAGACTTCATGAAGAACATGCTCAAAAAATTTCATCAAAAAATTCCACCAGGAAGTGCCCGAAATTCTCTCGGCCGGACGGAGCATCTCGTCAGGCCGGCCTGACAAGAAGACCACTATATATGTATGTATGTATGTATGTATGTATGTATGTATGTATGTATGTATGTATGTATGTATGTATGTATGTATGTATGTATGTATGTATGTATGTATGTATATGTATATATGAACTTACTTTACGGTATATATCAAATGTCCATTGAATCCATTGTATATGATCGCTTTTTTCTATATGGCCTATCTGGCCATATTCTATTAATCGTTCAAAGTTCCAATATACTAGTAATTAAAATAAATCTGAAAAGGATAGGAGACACGTGATCTAATTTTATTTTAATTTTTGTTAAAGTTTTTGTTGATATAGGTTTTTTGATTGAAAAAACTTCAATTACGCTTACTTTTTCTGCGTATTATTTTCCGCTCTCATAGTTTTTATATATTATTACTCCGTATTTTGTAACCACATCTAAAGTTAAGGACAGGAGGCAGAGCAAAAGTATGAAGGTTGTTTATGTAAATAGGAGTAGGTTTGTAATTTAATGAGACTACTCTTTTCTTATACGGAGTATATAGATGGATTGACATCGACTTTTTAATGTTTACAGTAGATTTTTTCTTACAAAATTTCTCCTAAAAGTAGGGGTGGACCGGTTCCGGTTCGGGCCTGGGCCCGGTCGGTTCGCGGTTCTGTTTTGTTGGGCCCGAGTCCGAACCGGTAGCCACCGGTTCTGGGCCGGGCCATCCGGTTTTTTTTTTTGGCTTCTCCTATTTAACCCCCAATCCACCCCCTTCACCCCCAAACCACCTCAAATGGCCCAAAATACCCAGCCTAACCCAAAAACTTAAAACAAATTCAGAAAAAAAAAAATAAATTCGGCCCGGACCGGGCCCGAACCGGCCGTGCCGGTTCACCAAATGGAGGGCCCGAGCCCAGAACCGAAACCCACCGGGCCGGGTGGCCCGAACCGGGCACTAACCGGTTCACCGGGCAGGTCTGGGCCCGCACAGTAGCGGGCCGGTCCGGTTCCGGGCCGGTTGGCCCGGCTCGAGTCCATCCCTACCTAAAAGTGATAAAAAAAACACAAAATTCGTTGAAGATACACAGAATATGGCAGTATGAATAGAATTTAAAAATATGTAGACAAGATAAATTTGAGGGCAAAAAAGTTAAGTAGTATAGAGAGTTTGGGCACGTTCACTTAACTTGCGTCCCAAAGCAATTCAGTAAATTCAATCCAAGAAAACAAAACCTTTTAGTAAAATTAAAGAGAATCAAGGAGAGGAAGCTGGAAGCGAGAATAAACTACCTCAGATCATATATTGTTCTCGAGGAAAAAATGATCATATATTATTCAATCTGTCCACAGTATACGTCACAAAGTCCATGTATTTAAAAAAAAACTCTGTTCCAAACATTGTGGTTCCATTCAGATTATATACATTGACCAGTCTCCAGATAAACCTGTAAGGGCCTGGACTGGCATCTATGCTATAGACATCTTATTCTCTAGTACAGAATCAATACTGATGTCACAATTACAAAGGTACCCGTCAAAAAAAAACTTATATTCTTGAAGTGTCATTTTGAAGAAACTTTTGAAGCACGCCTAGTGACAGATAGATCAGCAGGGGTGCAAACCATAGCCGCCCTTTGCTGCAAATGTCGCAAGCTTTGCTCCATGCTAACTTGCACCATCTCAGCAAGCATCTCCTTCGCCTTTCCCGGCTGCTCCTCCCCTGAACCCATCTGTGATATAAGGTTACTAACAATGTTCTCAAGCGTGTCAGGTTGGAGTTCAGACCTCGGAAACGGAGACTCTCTTAACAATCTCAACAGAGTCTGTGCTTTAGCTTGAGACTTTGGTGTCCCTTGAACGGTCAACTCTAAAAGCCCAGGGATTGCACCTTCCCTAAGAATGGGTTCCCTATATTTACACCTGTCACTCTCACACATTGTCAAAAGGGCTCCTAGAGCATGTTCTCGGCTTTGAAGGGACCCACTTTCGAGTACTTCTACCACTGCTAGTACCCCGCCTTCTTCCGATGTCAATGCGGTCCTACCTTCCTCGTAACTGACTAAAGATTCTATCAAAGCCATACATTTTTCTGCTGTTTTCGAAGATCTCTTGCAGGATTTGAGCAGACTGACAATGGAAGGGATGGGGTCTGTCTGGAGGATCGGGATCTTATTGCCTTCGTAAGATGAGAGGTTGTAGAGAGCCATTACCGCATCGGCCTTAGACTGTGGAGGGGTGCCACTGCTTTTAAGGACTTTGACAAGAAGAGGGATCGCGCCAGAGGCAGTTATGATGGGCTTTGTCACGGGAGAGGCAGATAGTGTGAGGAGTGATGCAGTTGCGTGCCCTTGCAGAGTCAAATTCTTGGACTGTAGAAATCCTATTATAGGTTGCAGAGCCCCAGTCTCTATTATTCTTACCTTGTTTCTGCAAAAAGTTTTAAAAATATTTGTAAGTTCAAGGTTTCAAAACGATGCATATGATGCAATGAAACTACTTTTGATGCATGATTACTTTTGAGATGCTTTTTACTACGGAGTACTAAACTTCATGTTTTTGTACATGTTAACAACTGCATTTAAAAGAAGGAAAAAGAAACAAATATACCTTTGAACACGAATTGAGTGCCCGTTTGGTCCTTACTAATTGGTTAATAATTGACAACTGACAAGTGGTTGTATATCCAAACACAAATTGAGTGTCTGTTTGGTCCTTACTAATTTGGTCATACCCCCCAACATCATCAATTACATTTCTTTTACAAAAATACTACGGAGTACCTTATATAGTTATATCACTCATTTTCTGAAATGGGGGGTTATAAATGGTACAAGTGTTAGTTTTTTGTTGAATGACTGAAATAGAGATAAATAACCTTCAACGGAAATAGTTTGGGTATATTTTCATTTACGTTCTTAAAAATAACATATTTTTAGATACGTCGGCCAATTTCAATCATTTCAACAAATTCTTACCCGAAAATAATGGGCTCATAGTCAGTCTGTAGACAATTCCCTAAGCCACTTATCTGACAAAATTAGCTGGACCAAAGAAGTAAATCACACTTCATTTAAAATCTAAAAGACATGATAAATGTCAAAGACTAATGTTTAAATGGATACAGCATGTCAACATATGAAGAAGAAAGGATAGTACAACTTGTTTCTAGTCATGTCAGCTGCTACTTATTTAACTACGGGAATGCTTCAGGGGATGCATTTTTTCACTGTTCTGTAAAACCTTTATATTTCAATTCCTCACCCTTTGTGTAACATAATAAAACCCAGAACTAAAAGGTTTCTCATTATAGAGCTAATAGGATGTCTATAAGTGAGGAGATAGAGAAGAACTCATATTAATCTATTACTGTAGGCCTATAAGCGTGGAGTAGAGTTAGCATCAGCAAAACTAAGCAGGAGAATATAAAAGGGAAAAGTACATAAAACGTACCTGTGGTTTGGGCCATTTTCAGATAGGGGCATGTGTTTCATTTTCTAACAAAGTGGGGCATGTGTTTCAATTCCGTTATCATAGCAGGGGCATGGCGTCTAACGCCGTTAGAAAAATTAACCCCGAGTTTAAAAAGTCTCCGAAAAATTAAAAGAAAAATATCGGGAGGTGCGCCTCGTCAAGGAGATCAACAAACTCTTTATTTTTTTGTTTCCAGCCACCATATCTCCAGAAAGTCTACCGGAAAATTGATATTAGCGAATTTGTTTTTAAAAAATAATCCAAATAGAGCCGGAAAATCCAAAGAGAAAGATAGTTTGTTGATCTCCTTGACGAGGCGCACCTCCCAGTATTTTTCTTTTAATTTTTCGGAGACTTTTTAAAATCGGAGTTAATTTTTCTAACGGCGTTAGACGCCGTGCCCCTGCTATGATAACGGAATTGAAACACATGCCTCACTTTGTCAGAAAATGAAACACATGCCCCTATCTGAAAATGGACCAAACCACAGTACGTTTTCTGTACTTTTCCCAATATAAAACTCATTTCTAGTGGGAAGCATCAACTTGCAACTTCATCCAAAAGGAAAACCAAATCACTCCAAGATCACACATATGTTTACCAGATTCCTTGTTACTTTATGGAGAAAAGAAGATAAAGATGATATTCCCATGTTAGATGATGAAAGAACCTTTTAAGAAATCTGCAATATTCATATTCTTTAATTGATTATTTGATTACCTATTTGGTTAGGCAGGTCCGCAGGTAGAAACATTCTACTGTGCCTTTTTTTGGGGGGGGGGGGGGGGAGGACTTAAGTACAAAGTATGGAATTTTTCTAATGGATCACAATCCAATACACGTGAAAGCTTCACAGACAAGATAGAAGAAAAAGGAAAACATGAGAATAACAAAACATGGCCACCAGCAACTAACCAACATGAAGCAAAAGCATTTCATTCTAAGCCATCGATTTATAAAAGGAAAAAAAACAAAAAAAGCTTGTGTGAATATGTCATCATCTTTAATCATCTTTGCAAGATGTAAAAGAAACCTCATATATCCTTTTTCTTAAAAAAACATGAAATCCAATCTCAAATTATAAGTGGGTCCGTAGATATAATCTAAAGCTGAAAGCTTGGAGAAATTCCAACTCTAACACCGTTCCATATTATTATGCACAAAAACTCGTCCAACCTTTGTTCCAACTCAGACGCCATGTCACCAAAACACTGTATTTGGTGAAACACTACTCATGTGCCATTCTCTTGTTGTTTGATAAAAAATGGGGACAAAAAGTAGGTAAAGCGGAAATATAGAAAATGGTTATCCCCTTTCTCTCAGTTTCGGTTGATAAATAGGTAAAGGGTTAGGATAGAAAACACTTGTGATGTTTACACCAATTTGGTGTGAAGAGTTAGACATGAGTTTAACTTCGTGATAAAGCATAACATATCCTATATTTAAAACTTGAGATAACGACCACATGTCCACATTTCAGAACCAATAATAATTCAAGGAAATATAGCATTTTAGATGCACCATATTTGAAGTAAAAGGACAAATATCAATCTTTACCAAGGTACTATTTATAATTCACAGAGTGTTATGGTATGTTATACGGAGTATTTGATCTGCAACCCACCAAAGCAGGACCAGAAAAGAAAGATCAAATGATTGGTTGAAGACTTGAAGGTGATTGTAAGGAGTGGGGGCACAAAAGCAGGAAAACTAAAACGAAAGCATCACCAATTCTTCCCTGAAGAGGAGATGACAGAAATGAGGAAACTGAAAAGGCAAGAAGCGAACGCAATACACTTAAAACAGCAATGAAAGAAAACAGCGCAACAATTTTAATTAGGCGTGAAAGGGATACATATCTCATGGCAGATTGATCCGATTTTGAAAACCAAAAACAGATTCAACCATTTAAGAAGTTATAACCGTTCATGTGTAAGCGGGAAAACACTTACAATTCGTCTTTGACGGCAAGGTTGAGAAGCGCAAGGAGAGCTGCCTCGTTCGATTCGACGGCGCTGGAGTAGAGCATATCAACGAGAGGTCCGACGGCGTTAGCGAAGTGTCGGCGGTAGCGCTGGGAAGTCTTTGTGAGGCGCCTGATCTCCAGGGCTGCTTGAATTTTGAAAGCCGGGTCATCGGAGCTGATGAGCTGGGTAATCTGATTGACGACGGAAGGGGAGGAGGTCGCTGGAGGCGCATCACCGTCGGAGCAATTACCTCCGGCGACGGTGGCAGTACTACTAACCGCGGTGAAGCGAGCCAGACTCTCCCGTTCCGCGTCCATTCTGGATGCAGGCGAGGTTGTAGTTTTGAATTGAAAAATCAAATGGAGAAAAATTCTCAGGTTGGTTGCAGAGGGAAGGGGATTGGGCGATAGAATGAGGGAAGGAGAGGGAGTTAGAAGCTTTTAATACTGCACCCTGTAAATCCGTTATCCGTATTGCATTTACCCTTCGAATTTGGGCCTTTTGGTAGCATTGATTAATTAATACACGGCGTACTTCACTACTTCTTTTACCGTACTTAACTATTGTTCGGGATAATAATTTAGAAAAAAATCTATTATGTCTCTCATAAGTTATTATGATGAGTCTAAATTATTACTCCCTAATTCATAGAACAATAAATGGAAAGTTCCTGAAATAGCACTAAAAAGATTTGAAAATTCCAAAATAAGACTGTCATGTTTTTTATTCCCAAAATACGAGTAGTTACTGCCAAGTTTGGAAAGTACTGTCATGTTTGAAGTATGGTACTGCCAAAACATGGCAGTAATTAGTCCTATTTTGGGAATAAAAACATGACACTCCTATTTTGGAATTTTCAAACCTCTTTAGTCCTATTTCGGGTAATATTCTCAACAATAAAGTATGAAAATGTCCATTAATTATCTCTGAACTATAGTGACGGAGTTTGTATTAGCTAGTTAGGGTGCGAATGTTGACAAATGCTACGAGTACTAAGTAAACACCCCAAACTTCCATCTATAAAGTCGCTCATCTCCCTTTTAACTATCAAGGCATAAGACAAGCAACCCATATGCAAAAGGTTTGTGATTAAAAGCCTGAGATTTCGAGTCGATCTCGAGCGGCTCGCGGTCTTGATGCAAAGCTGTCGAGTCGAACTCGAGCAATAAAAAAATTCAAGCTCGAATTCGAGCATATGTGAGTCGGGCTCGCCTCGGCTCATTTGCACCCCTAGACAACGTTGTTAACATTTTAATTTGAACAGAAAAATTTCAATGAGGAGTTGAGGACTATCAAAATAAACGAGGCTTTTCATAAAATATTAATAATAAAGAATAATGGATAAAATGTGATTTAATACTACTAGTGACTATAATTGTTTTCAAAATTTACATCATAGTAACTTGTAATCACTATATATGATGTAAACTTTAAACATAATTATAGTTACTAATAATTACTAATCACAATTTGTATGAGTAATATTGCTTGATTTCTCATTAAACACTTATAGTAATGTGCTTAAGTCTTAATCTTAAAAAGTAAAGATGGATTAATGCAATAACAGTAGTAATAATCTAACTAAAACTCGTTTGAATCTGCATGCACCATTCAATTCATGAGGTTAAGTTTTTACAATATAAATAGGGGAAATAATTGAAATACCCAAATTCCGAAGGGGTGTGATGAGATGAACATCCCAAAGTTTCATATGTAAATTAAATATTCCAAACTTTATTCCAATCTTTATATGAAAAGTTATTTTAACACCATGATCTTGTATTATTTAATTTCTTTCAAAAATGTAAATTTTTTGTGTTAATTTCATAATTTAAAATAGCAATTATATAGAGTTTGTGTGTGGGTGGTGGGGGGGGTAATACTATTTATTTTTAGAAGGTTAATTATATTGAATGCTAAAATATTTTAAATTATGCAATTAACACCATAGATTTACACTTTTCAAAAGAAAGAATACAAATCATGGTGCTAAAATAGCTTTTTATATAAAATTTGGGGTATTTAAATTACATACAAGTTTAGGGTGTTTACCTCACACCCCCTTCAAAATTTGGAGTCTTTTAATTACTTTCCCATATAAATACACTATTTAACCGTGAATTTAAACATTAGATCTCAACCCATGGTTTTCAAATATGAGAATTCCATCAACATTTCGGATTTTGTGTTCATTATAATAAGTTCCACCCAATACAAATAAGAGTAATAGTGCTAAATTACATAAAATTGTTACATTTTTCTGTTGGCCAAAGGGTCAAATAGATACATGAACTAACTTAAAGTGTTCAATTAGCCCCTTATATAGGAGGTTCTGTTCGGCCGTCGCCAATTGGGGCGGTTCGCGGTGGAATTTTTTGATGAATTTTTTTGAGCATCTTCTTCATTAAGTCTAGTTTACCCATACCAAATTTCAGCTAAAAATTCAACCGGGAAGGCAGTCAAATGATTTTTTGAAGATAACTTCGTAGTTAAACAGCGCAATATATTTCGGAAAATCATTTGACTGCCTTCCCGATTTAATTTTTAGCTGAAATTTGATATGGGTAAACTAGACTTAATGAAGAAGATGCTCAAAAAATTTCATCAAAACATTCCACCGGGAACCGCCCCAATTGGCGACGGCCGGGCAGAACCTCCTATATAAGGGGCTAATTGAACATTTTAAGTTAGTTCATGTACCTATTTGACCCTTTAGCCCTAATTGAACATTTTAAGTTAGTTCATGTACCTATTTGACCCTTTAGCCTTTTTTCTGTTAAAAGTTGTACATTCAGGTGAAAAGGCTTCAGCGTGAACGAATTATAGGACAAAAATTACAAAATTGAATAATCAATGTCTATTAACATGAAAGAAGCTGGCATGAAAACTATTAATGATGAACTAATCAAGTGTTTAAAAGAATTGTTGTTGCTACAGAGTGGGAATATTATTTGATGCATGTTCTAATTAATTTATGAAAAGCGACAAAATAAATATATATGCCGTAATTTATTAATTTTATTTATTAATATATAATAATAATGTTGAACGCTGTCGTAAAAGGTGTGGTTGACGGAGCATAAAAGATCTGAAAAGGTTGAAAGTGGATCAATCAAGCATGATATTTATGAATCAGGGGCATTGTTCATGGTGTGACTTTCGGCATAGACCTTACGCTAACGAATCTCACTAAACATGCGAAATTTTTGGGAGAATTTGAACGACCTTTTAGTCCTATTTAGTCCTAAAGATTTTGTAATTAATTATGTTTTGGAATTCTTTATTTTTCTTCTTTTTAGGGGCACGTTCCAACTTCCGGATTTTTTTTCACTGATTCATGATATCATATAGGATACACATATTTATTCTTATGAAAGGTAAAAGGGAAAAGGTGCAAATAGACCCATGTATTAACCAAAAAAGGTCAAATAAGCCTTTATTTAGGAGGTTTTGTCTGGCTGTCGCCATTTGGAGTGGTTCCCGGTGGAATTTTTTGATGAATTTTTTTGAGAATCTTATTCATTAAGTCTAGTTTACTCATACCAAATTTCAGCTAAAACTTCAATCGGGAAGGCATTCAAATGAATTCTTGAAAATAACTGCGCGGTTAGAAGCGCAGTTATCTTGATTAATTCTTGAGAATTCTTGAGTAAACTAGACTTGATGAATAAGATGCTCAAAAAATTTCATCGAAAAATTAAACCGGGAACCATCCCAAATGACGATGGCCGGACAGAACTTTCTAAATAAGGGCTTATTTGACCTTTTTTTTGTCAGTACATAGACCTATTTGCACCTTTTCCCAATGTAAAATATAGGGGAACGACCGGGAAAAAATAGTTCTCACTAGAAGCCTCACCCGGATTTGCCTATCAGAGGGTCTTTCAATTGAAGTTTTTGATAAAAAATTTGAACATATTTTTCAGCAAGTATGGTTTATGTCCACCTAATTTTGTCTTAAAATTAAATCGCGAAGTCGGTAAATAAATTTTTGAAAAACACTGCATTTTTCGTGTACATAATTTTAAGATGTGATTTAGTGAACATAAAATAGACTTCAGGAAGAATATTCCCAAAAAACATCATATAAAAAATCCACCGGGAAGGATCTATGATATGCAAGTTTTGATGGGAGTTCCCAAAACTACATGAGGTGATCATCATTACTTGGGGAACAAATAATTATATACTAGTATAAAACCTTATAATAATATTTCTAAAGTATTATAAAGGGAAAATAACTTAAAATAATATCAACTATCTTCCGTGAACCAAGAATAATACATACTTTGAAAATAAGTTTTAATAATATCAACTATTTAAATATAGACCAAAAATGATATAGAGCATTTTTTTAACAAAAAATTCTAACTCATCAAAAACTTCTGTCAAAATATCTAATTAGTGAATATATTTCCAAATATCATTTATGTGATGGGTTAATATTAGCTTTTGATGTCTTAAATGATCGGATTTTTTGTCAAAAAATGACTCCATATTATTTTTGTTTACATTCAAATAGTTGGTATTATTAAAAGTCATTTTCGAACTTTGTATTATTATTTGTTCATGGATGATAGTTGGTATTATTTAAAGTTATTTTTCCTATTATAAATACATTACGAATTATGAGTGGAAGGATACTTTCAATATAAAACTAATACTCCACTAACATATTGATGTCTAATAATGTCAGAAAATATGATATCAAAATTTACTCATAACTGGAGAACAAAATGCAATTCAAGTGTTGTATTTTGGAATTTCACATTTATTTAATTCATATCTATTTTTAGAAATTCTCCAAACTAAATTTTGGCAGGCTCATCATTTGCAAATTAAGGCATATATAGCGTCTTTGCCCCTTTAATTTACTTGTTTAATAATGTTTACATATGTTATGAGTTTTTTTCAAAAATACTACTGATGTAATAAAATTTATTTATAAAAATATGTTTACAATTAAATTACTATGAGTCAGTGTCATGGTCTCCTAAATATAAAAATTGAACGTAGTTAGACAGTTAGTAAGTATTAAATAATATAGCCATAAATAATGAGAAATATATAATTATTTCAATTCAATTAGGATTTAGGACTGTACCCTCATCGTAGAGTAGAGCTCAAAATGATTACATACCGCCAACTCGTCTTTATTCTAATCTTTGATCTTAGGATTGACATCTTTGTTTTATTTTCAAGCTAAAACTCCATCAATGCATGACAATTAGTATATACTCCGTATAAATTATAAAACTTATATTTGTGTGAACTAATTTAATATTCAATATTTGTTTAAATAGTATCATATGAGAGCATTTGATCTTAGGAAAATGATGTTTGTACCCACTTTTATACCCACTTTTGTACCCACTCATGTTTGTGAAGTTATTTTTTTTGTCTGTGAATTCCTTCACAGACAAAATATGTCTGTGAAGGAATTCAAAGAC